AAGAACATTCAAAAACTGATGTGAAATGTGATACATGTGCACATCCTACAACGGACGAAAGTAACTAGAGCAGAACTGGCTGGGTTTGTATGTAATTTCATACCATATTACTGAATAAATACTGTCTGTATACACTGGTGTATAAAGTACACCGTGCGAGTAGTTATGACATGAGACAGGGCGCAAGTAGTTGAGGGTTAAAAAAAAAAAACAATTTTTAACCCCTTCAATGGTGGGTTTTGAGATACAAAATGAAGTCAGCCTGAGAATTTTCTGGGTCTGCCAGTGAAGGAATTAACTCTCATCTGCTTTGTCTCTTTTGTGTCATTTATTACAGGCATGCATGACCTCAAAAAATACTTTAATATTCTTAATAAGGCACTTCCCTGCAATGGTTTTTTGCAATGATGCAAAATATATAAGACAGCAAATGTTTCTCTGGAAATTTTGGAAATATTAGTTGAAAAACAGACTGTTTATACTAGACTGTGTACAACTTTATCTATGAAAGTTTGAGAGTAGAAACAGCAGCAGTAGACTTTTCTTTTCTTAGCATATAAATGTATAGGGGCTTTATGTCCTTGAATATCACATCTAAATTAAAATGAGCCAGGTTGGGCAGTGTGAATGGCAAAGTTCAAAGTCTCTCCTACACTATCAAAAGAGTTCTGAGATATTCATAATTTAGATCAGACTAATGAGCTGATGAATGTCTTGAATGACTTCCATTACTTGTTTCTTAAAATGCACTTCAACATCTTTTCAGCATATTTATGGGCAACTCCACCTGACAATGGGAGGCAATGGGGTGGGGGGGGGCTTTATCTGGGAGAGCCAATTATATATGGGAGCTAAGAAACAGGGAACACTGGTACATGCTCTTGAACTCTGTCTTACCTTTTGCTGCTCCTGTGCTCTATATAAGATGCATGATTAAAATTTGGAGACTATCTATACATTCCAAACTTATGCAGATCGAATAAGAAGCAGATGCTCTGTTCCATCCCAGAGATTTTTGCCATTATGTTGCCTAACATTAATGGTGTGTGTAACAGTGTAATCACTGTGTAACTTACAGTTGACTCAGGCAAGTAGTTGAGTCAATCTCTTAAGGTCAGTAAAGTGGATCTTGGATTTTTAGCTCAGAAAAAAAGTATGCACTTAAAAGAGTTACATTGAGACTGCCTTGACAGACTCTGAACATTCTGCCTGTTGTAGAGCTGTAACTTTAGTCCATGGATGTGGTTTTTCAGGTTTCATACAAGGTGGGTGGAAGCATAAGTGATGTGGTGATCTCAACACAACGGCGTCGTCACCTAGCACAGCTCATGGTTACAGATGGATCCCTCACCTCTTGTCCCCACTCCCCTTCATCAACTCGTGGCCATCAAGTGTATAGGTAAGGTTTCTCATCATGATGTACATGTGCTTCATAGAATGGATACAGTGTTATGATTTTGGAATGGAGGGAGTTTTCCTTTCTTAAACAGTAGCCAGTGGGCCTCTCCAGTAACACCTGCATCCAATTATTAATTTTTTTTTTTTAACCATATGTTGCTGTTGTCATAGGACTCAATCTAATTTTTTTTTGCAAGCTGTGATATATTATAAATCTCTGAGAAGCCTATAGCAAATTTTGATGTGTACTATTTCAAAATGTATTCATATGTAATCAACCTCAACAAGTAGGCATTCTTATATGTGTTGCCCAGTTAATTGGTGATGTTTTGGGATTTCTTTGTTACATCATTGGGAAATGATGGAATTGCACCTTGGGAAATGTGCTGGTTATGTAGGATAATATGTGTACAAGTGCAGGCCTCCTCCTCCAAAGTGTGTTTGCATAACGGGTGTCTTTATTTACAGGCGGCCTCTTAGACGGTCTCGATCCCTTGTGGAGATGGTGTTTCACAGTGAAACTGGTGACTTAGAGGATCTGAAGTTGAAAAATATTCGTCAGACAGGTCTGGAAACTAGTTCCATTTATTCACTCTCTCCCTAACTTCACTTTTCTTATCACTTTCTCATGTATGAGAAGCCATGTAAGCATCAGACATTTTCTCTTCTCAACATTCTCCACTGACCTGTTGTGTTGCATATCACTTCCTGTTTCATATTGCCTCCAATTGCATGAATCAGTATTTATATCAATTGCTAGAGTTGCTGGTGGATCTGCGGGAGAGCATTCTGGCTGTCGGGCGACACTTCCAGGCCTGTGATGCCCGGTTTTCACGGATCTCCCTCATGCCAGATTACAGTCTGGAAAGTCATGCCAAAGACCATGAGGTCTTTCTGCAAGTATCTGCTGGCAAAAGAAGGCGAGCCAAAGCCCTTCTGGGTAGGTGGTTCTCTCTGGTGTGATTTTTTGATGCAAGTATTACTTTTTGGCCCTCACCTTAATTGATATCTGTTTATTGATGCAGATTTTGAACGGCACGATGACGATGAGTTGGGTTTTCGCAAGAATGACATCATAACAGTTGTTTCCATGAAAGATGAGCATTGTTGGGTTGGTGAACTGAATGGTTTGAGAGGTTAGTGCCTTCACATCAATCCATGCAAAAATCAAGTTCTGTTGATTTCCTTACTTGTGAAAGCCCTTGAGAACTGAGTTGTTCACATCTGAAGTGTGTGGAGTATGGAAAGTGGCATGTACTGACTGGGAGCCAGCAAACCAAGTAAAATAAGCTTACCTTAATCCTGAATTCTCATTAGTACAAAAATTTCTGGTCCCAACAAGAAATTCATGGCTCTCTTGTTTAAGTTCTCCCATGAAATTGATTTATATCCATCATTTTGAGTTTTCCAGAGAAAGTGTTTTTTTTTATCTCCAGAACCTTGTCTCCTGCTGAAATTGGAATTTCTGAGGGAATAAAAGTTCATGTGTACCTTTCTATAGGGGAATAAGAGAGAAAAGGGATAAGTTATGTTCACTTTCAGCCCTTAGTTCCCACTTTATTTGCACCACATTTGAAAGCGTTTTTAAGTACTTTATGAAGTATGAAGCCATATGGCTTCTTTCTCCAGGAACTAAATGTAAAAAAATTGGGCTCATTCAGTCAAGTTTAAATGCAAGAGGTAATTGTTAATCCGGAAAAATATATATTTTGTTGGATTTCTGGATTACCATAAATTTACTGTATTGTGGTGCATGTTACTTCTTATTTCATAACATGTAGAGTAGTCTCATTGTTAGTATAATGGTGGCCAACCTTTGATGAGGTGCTTGACCCAATTGAAAGAAATGAAATAGGAATTCTTACTTCTAAAAAGCAAAATATATTTTTATTTGCAGTACTGTATTTCACTCTCTGGACAACATCAACATCCATCCAAACCTCACAAATGGGAATCTCGAGGATGTTTATTTAGATTAAAACCATTTTGTTGTTGGATCTTAATTACCATGGCTGAGTGCAAGGCATTATGAAACCTGAGCTGTGTCATCCCTCACCATTGAATTTTCCTGGTTATCCCAAGGTTGGTTCCCAGCAAAATTTGTGGAGGTGTTGGATGAGAGAAGCAAACAGTATTCCAGTGCAGGAGATGATGGAGTGAGCCCAGTCATTGCAGATCTTGTGCGTGGAAACTTGTGCTCTGCCCTCAAGGCCATTCTTGAGCATGGCATGAAGAAGCCCTCAGTTCTTGGTCAGTATGATGTGATCTTTGCTCAGACTGGAATTTGCAGGTCTATCCTCATTTGGAATAGAGTTATGAGAAGAAACTGAAATTAATGCCATTGTTCAAGTTGCCAATATGTTACATCCAGCAAATCTGCATATTTACTCTGTTGAACTACTCAATTTTTGCTTTCAGGGAGCCCATGCCACCCATGGCAGTTCATTGAAGAAGTTGCAAACTATGAAGTTAAGCGAGATTTTGGCTCTGTCTACTCACGACTGGTCCTCTGCAAAACATATCGTCTAGATGAAGATGGGAAGGTCCTCACGCCCGAGGAGGTACATACGCCTGTCCCACGGTTTCTTCCATAAAATAGCTGCATTGTTGGCTGCCTGTAGTACAGTAAGACTGTGCCATTCATCAGCTCCTGTATCGGTGTGTGGTGGCGGTTAATCGGTCCCATGATGTCCAACATGCTCAATTGGACGTGAAACTTCGCTCTCTCATCTGCATGGGTCTCAATGAACAGGTTTTTCACCTCTGGCTTGAGATCTTGGCTTCTGCCCCATCCATTGTTGCCAAATGGTATGTTCTGTGAAGACCTAGGAAACTTCTTTCAATCATGTTCAAGTAGATGTTTCATTTCTGTTCTCAACCAGACCTTAGTTTATAAAACAGATTGCATTATGCTGGTATTTAAATTACCTGTAATTAACTTATATTAAAAGTGCACATTTTGCCTTTTTTTTTGCTATTTACATGGATATTCAGATCCAATTATGACTGGTACTCATTCTGGAGGTTAGTAGAGTTTAAAGAGACATGAAAAGAATGGATGAGTGTCCTTTACATTTATGATGTAGAGAGTTGCAGGTGCCTTGACAAGTTAAGGCGAAACTAATTGCCTCGTTCATTTTTCTAGGTACAATCCATGGGGCTACCTGGCCTCCCCAGGTTGGGTGCAGGTCAAGTGTGAATTGCGAGTCTTATCGCAGTTTCCATTTAGCCTGAAAGTGGATTGGGAGTTGCCTCCGGCAAAGAAGCCGGTGCAGCCGATGCGCGAGGGAGTGCGGGACATGCTCGTCAAACATCATCTCTTCTCCTGGGACCTCTGAACCTTTTGTGTCTTTCACCTTTCCCTGACAATGACATAGGAGAGCATTTTCTGAACTAACTGCGGTCAGGTGACTGGATGGGCTCAACAGCAGGATGGGTGTTTTGATTCTCCAGTTGAGTTTGAAAATTAATGAATAGCTGCAATTGGAATCAGTTTTGAATAATGGTTTCTTCTGAAATGTCTATCTCAGGAAAAGGTGAGAAAGCATCTAATTCCCATCTCTAGTCCCTCTTCAGGCCCTTGTATCCTCTAGTCCTTGGATCAAAGCATTTCTTTCCATTCCATTTATGTTTTTCATGTATGTTTCCAAGTTTTCCTCATAGATCTCTGCCAGAGTAACTTAAACACCCTTATTTAAAGCACAAACAGATTATATGGTTGTTACATTGAAAAAGAGCAAGAAAGAAGGATGTGTCCACTCAGATTAATGTCATGTAGACCCCACGTCTTCATCATGTGGTACTTGAACACTTCCATGTACTGTTTCCTTGTTAGCAGTTATTGTAATTGTAGAAATTCTATTACCAGGGAGAATGTTCAAATTAATCTGGCTGGGATCTGTATTTGTTGCCACATCTGATGATGAGAGAGACTTTAATTTTATTCTTTGGATTATTTTATGCTTATGATGTCGATCAAGTAAATGTGCTTTCTTTTGCCTGCACTTTCGTATTTTCCTTGACTTCATTCTCCAAAGATTGAAGTGGAGCAAATGGCTCACACTTCGTGCAAACTCGCAGAAACGGTTGATTTATATTTACATCACACATCGTTATCACATTCCAAGGTTTTCAGGGGAAGTAGCAACGTGAATAATTGTCCACGCCACTGGATGTTTTTGCCTAGTTCAGAGCGTGTTGAAGTCTTTTGAACACACGAGGTGGAAAGACCAGGACTGGATTCCCTTGCACGCAAAACCTCCAAGCCTCATGCGGGAACACAGACCTCTTCCGCTCCACGCTATTCGAGAGTGAGATCATTCGTTTCTGTCTCTTTCTGAAGTGTACTCGAGAAGACAGGAAGTGGTTTGGCTATCGTCATCACGGAAATGAATCTTCAGAGGCGCGAAGACCTCCCATGTTGCCGGGATGCGCGAGAGTATCGGCATGTAGGGCTTGAAACCAACTGCAACCACGACTTCCCGGTACTTATGCATACCCTTCTGCGGTGGTCTTTCACCATCAGGATGGCTGAGAAAGGGAGCCAAATTATGCGCTGCAGCTTTCGCTGTATAGTTTATTCAGTATTAGGATGAAAAAAAAATATTGTCTAAACTGCAGGTCAGGCCACACTAATTGAAATGATGGCAAGACGGTCATGAGAATCGATCGTCGACATACATAATACGAAATGGTAAATACGGATTCTCAAGACTGTCCAGATGGCAATGTTCGTCAGTTCCATTCAGACAGCCATTCGGCGTGATCCTTTCCCCGTCCGCACGCGTTCAATGACTTAACGTTTACGTTTCATCCGTTTTCAGAGCCGTGCAAGTACGTGCTTCCGATCTTTTGGCGATTTTGTATACAGACCGACTTAATGCAATGCTACGTTTCGATCGATGAGGCATATTTGGACAAGTCTTGTTCTCGTGGAATGTTGTTCATATGTCTTACATCCTGCCTTGGTACTGAAAGAACTAGTAAGTACGTCTGATGCACGCTTAAGGGCTTCTGTGGGGTAGCGGGATTCATATTGGAATTCGCAATCGGCGTCATGATGATGTGATTTGTTGAAAGTGGAGACGTAAGTGCACTCGTATTGAGCTAAAAAGGCAAAATCGTTAGCTGTATACGAGGGTCATTTCCAAAGTCCCAGACCCACTCTGCCCTCCTACCATAAATCCACGAAACTCAGTCGCTCTGGTTGGTTATTTTCGTCGAAACCTGGAAGTGCAGGACCTCAGCTGAGAGACTGAGGGAAGCCGAGCCGCTGCGACGGAAGGATGTCGCTCGAGATTCCAGACCATTTCTGTCTGTGGCATGACTGCGATGAATCGAGATGAGCAGTGGCGGCTCGTCAGGGTAGGCAGGGTAGGCAGTGCCTACCCAGTTTACAATCAGAGTTCTCAAATTAATATTTGATAATTAATTCTTCGATTAACACAGCTGGAAATATTTGTTTTTCCATTGCGAGGTAAAACCAAATCGAGTTTATGCGTCCAGAGTAGGCACGGCGCTGCCTGCCTACGCTGTCTAGGCTCAAATTCCCTCGAGCCCAATGCAGGAACGTGAAGAGGGAGAAATGGAAGAGAACCACAACACTGGAATGAGTGAGGGTAGGCTTGCCTACGGTGCGCAGTTACTCCTTGCGCAGAAAGGAAGGTTGAGAATCGCTTGCTCACGCCCTCTGCTCAGAAGCACGTGCTTGTAGAAGCCTCTGTGGTTGTCACACCTGATCAGACCTAATCTACAGTATTATGCAGACTGAATAAGGAATCATTTCGAACAGGCTTCTGTCAGTCTCAGTTCCCTATTCCTACCCCGCATTCATAGCTCTCTTTGGAAGAGGCACTGTTTCTAAGTGATATGTTTTGTTAGACTGACAGTGCTTCGCATCCCTGGGGTGTCTTCCAACGATATAGTTGCATTCATTGAAGGTTTAAATCTTCGTCACGTTTCCTTTTAGATGCAAGTAATTTCCTTGATGGCTAGTTCTGATTATGCTAGAATTGGATTTACAATTTTTGAATGCAAAAATCCTAAACTTATGTCAAGCCTATAGTCAAGGGGTGAGGGGGGGGGGAGACCCTCTGAAGAGACTGGAGAGTGGTGGGTGGGGGAGCAGTGGCGGATACAGGGGGGGGGGGGGGGAAGACAGCCCCCCTATGGCCAGGCTTGCATTTGATTTATTCATTCAAAATAGCATCTGCATTAAATTTATTGGAGCCAGTGAAATAGATACTCAAGTTCTTACACCAGACGAAAAATAAAAAGGAGAAAGGACGAGGAATGGTGGCAGGCTACCAGGCTGGTTAGGTAGGAACTTGGGAACCACCCCCCTATGAAAAATTTCTGTATCCGCCCCTGTGGGGGAGGGGATGCTCAGCGAGGTTGAGAGAGGAGCAAATGTGCCTGCTACTATCATAAGAGGACGCTTGATTGGTCAATATGGATAGAAATGGGGATCATATGGATGCAAAGGAATCATATGGGGGTGACTGTACCCTCCCCCCTTATTTTTTTTTGCACCACTGCTGCCTACCCAATTTTTTTACCCACGAGCCGCCACTGGAGATGAGATGCAAACGTGTGTAGGTGAGAATCCCAGTTCGAGTGTTTTCTCTCTCCTCATCCGTCTTCATTAACGTCTTATCTCGAAAGTGCATCGTTCCTTGCCGAATCGCTTAAGGTATTCTCGGGAAGAAATCCAAGCGATTTCTCATCCTCATCCGATCGAAAGTACGAAGCCACGAACCCATGATCAAACATCGCCCCATAATTCGTGCGTCTGAAATGCAGCGAACGCTGCCGATGGCGTGGGCGCGCCATCAGGGAGATTGACGACGCTAGACAAAGAAACACGAGTGCAGCCCCAGTTCTTTGTCTGTCTCGAACCCTTGGGTCCAATTTCTTTGGGGGGGGGGGGAATACTACATCATGGAAATGGAAAATCATGAAAATGTCCCTGTTCAAGTTCAGGAGGTCTAGAAAGGCAAATCAAAGACATTAAATTAAAGTACCGCCTTGATACCGCCTAGATTTTGTTCTCAGCAGCAGGGAATGTACTAACGAGTCGAGATAACAATTAAAAACCTCAGTACCGTAGAAATATTAAAAGAGTATCGGAGCAAATTTGCATATTTTTATTGGGCCCCTGACTCACGCACACCCACGCACCCATTCCAGTCCACGTATAAAGGACGCGCGGGACAAAAATGCCTCCATCGCCAATGGAAGCACAAGGAGTTGTGAGCCCCTTTCCCCCTCTGAAGTCTCCCTCGCCGGCGCAGCCGAGTCCATCGTCCCAACCGACGGAGGCAGAGCGTGGAGGTTGGAGCGTTCACTCCTCTGGAGTGGCCCGCTGCGGATTCCACAAGCCCGATGGAGTGGCTCGTGCCGACGCATGCGTCGCTTCCGATGACGTTCCGGATGTTTCCGGGTCCCATATCGATGCGAAGATACGAGGCCGGGCGGAATCAGCCAGATACAAATTAGGTTTACGAATAGATACGGGGTGGACCATAAACACTCAATCCACATCTAAGTTTTCTTTTCGGCATGCGCAAGAAAAGCAACAAAAAAAAATTGGTCGGCGTCTATTTGGCGGCCAGTTTTGGGTGTTTCGACTGGATTCCGCTCCGAGTCGCGTGGCTCGACGCCCACAAACCTGGCTAACAGAAATCATCAGCGAACATGAATTGTCCCTGTACAATCTCGACTGTGATCCGATGGATCATCGAATGAGGAACGCGTTGGAAGCATCCAAAATACGAAATCCAGCTTCCTGCATCAATCGAGGCAAGTGCAGAAAGTGGAAGAGTGTCCTTTTCAACGCAATGGACCCGCAAACTCCAAGATTCCTGTTTCTCGAGAAGGAGGAGGAATATTCCCTTAATCGTTACAGTAGGTCTCTGTCCCTCGTTCAGATTCAGTCGATTCATACAAGACTTTCACTCGGCTTGAACATTCACACCCCACCCCGTATTAAAAAAAAAAGAAGCGACATGGAAGGATGAGAACCGAACAGAACCCGACCGCAATCGGCCTCGACGGACGACTAAGCGCCGCCTGGACCCCGCACGCCCTCGAACCTTCCGCCGTCCTTTCCTCAGTTCCTCAACTGGGTGGCGATGGGCGCGGCGGAGCCTAATTTCCCACCTTTCATCCTTTTCCGTTACAAAATCCGATCTCTCGTATTCCTCTCAGAGAGCATCTGGGAAAAATGAAATTAGGTGTTCTGCCTACTATCTGAATACAGAATCACTCTAACTAAACAGAAGTTCCATCACCTATCAGCGCGTGGAGAAAGCTGGATCTCATTTTCAACAGGGGTGTATTTCATTCCGATATTTATTTATTTATTTTTTATTCCCACACCATATCACACAGGGATGGCCACAGCCACACCGAAGGGGGGCTGGTCCAGAGGAGATAGCGGTATCTTAACCAAGCGAACAATATGAGCTCGTGAAACGAGTAGCGTGCACTTTCTGTTATTGGGAGCGCCGCACTTCGCTTTAAAAAAATGAAATTGCAGTTTCTTTATGCTTATGGTTCAGCTCCAACTTCTACCCTCTACCATGGTTGTCGGATATCATGTTATGTATTTTGTTGGATCGATGAATGCTCCTGCTTCTATACTGGCGCCTAAATATCTTTATTAAGAGTGACATGTATTCGTGTTGAGTTGATGAGATGAGGTGAGATCGAAGCAGCAATTATAGGCGGTTGATCGGGGTGCTACATAATGCTAACCGCCCCCATGGACATCCCTGCTGATGGCATCCCTGCTAACGGCATCCAGCCAGAGACAGAGGAGTAGGTAGGCCTAGGCCCGATCTGGAGACATTCCGTGGGTTAGGCCCAGGCCTAGTAGGTCTGGAGGCCTCTTCTCATTTCTAATTAATTATTTTCTTTGTTATTTTGGGTCGTTGAGGATACGGAGACTGATTGCCACGATCCCTGTAGGAAGCGAATATAAGTGGAGCGATCGGAAAAAGTT